ATTGAAGAAATATAACCTAGCAGGCATTATGATTCAATCTAATAAAGTCAATAAGCATTCTAAACATCCAATCTCTTGGGCTAGAGTATGCAAATCTCTGGAATAGTTGGTTCAGACATTTCATCAAACACCTTTTGGGTGTGGAAATATCTGAGATCAACTTCCAATTGATCAGAGAGGAAATAGCATTAAGATCTACTAAACCAGAAGGGAAATCAAGCAATTCTACACTTAACCACCTAAATATACTAAGGATTCCACACCTAATCTAACCCATCCTCAAGAACCCTAATCCACTACTCAAGAACACTGAAGAACATCATGCATAAAAACCCAGAAAACGTTTCAAACCCAGAAATCATTGAAAAGCAAGTATGTTATAGAAAAGAGACAGATCTACAACTTTGATGAAGAAAAGAAATGCAAAACCTCAAAGGATCAACAGGAAAAACGATTACAAAAACTAGGGTTTATGAGAGAACAAAGAAATATATGCTGGGTAAAAGGAAATACAAAATAGAGAGTCGGTGGAGGCCAACTCGACGTGTCGTCGAGCCTGACACGTCGAGACCATGTGATTCTCAAAGGTGGCGCCTTGATGTCCATCTCGACGTGTCGTCGAGCCTGCGTGGTCGAGTCTGCTCCCAGGCGGCTTCCTGGCGTCCTACTCGACGTGACGTCGAGTCTGCTTGGTCGAGTCTGCTCCCAGGCGGCTTCCTGGCGTCCTACTCGACGTGACGTCGAGCCTGCTTGGTCGAGTCTGCTCCCTGGTGATCTTGAACGACTTCATTCCTCTCCAACTCGATCCCAAGTCTAGCTCCAAGGTCGTGTTGGTTCCTCCTTGCTTCATTAAGTCCCAAATAAGCTCCAAAGTACCTGAAACTCATCCAATATGCAACATGCTATGCCATGCAATGCAAATCGTACTAAGTGATGAAAATCTTATGAAAAAGGACTATTAATGCAATGAAACAGAGAGGAAACTAAGCTAAATGCATAAGAAATGTGTGCTAAAAAGAGGTAAAATACAGAGATATCAACTCCCCCAAACTTAGCTCTTGCTTGCCCTCAAGCAAACAGATAGAACCAAGCTGGAGAAGAGGTTTGAAGGTGGAGACTCAGAACCAAAACATGCATAAAGAGTAAGTGAATTCAATGTCCAGGTTGCTAATTCTAGAATGCAAGGTTGACTGATCTCTACTTAAAAACATTAGTCATCTCTTGAACAGATCTTGCAAGTCAACGAGAATGTCTTTATCAATGTAGTGGATATATTAGCCTGATCAACAGTGAGCAATATGTCTGTTTCAATACGCCATGGCCCAATGAAACAAAGTTATATTGGTCGCCTCAAGAACCTCGGTGATCAAGTCGCAGTTACGATGGACTTGAAGTATCATCATCCCCAGAAGCATTCCAATGGAGCTGTCACTGAATTGGAAATAATGTCCAAGACCATTCAAGAAGCCCCAGCTTTGTAAGACCATCGAGCACAAGACTTTTCATATTCGATCGCGGTGAAAGCTTCTCCAATCCGAGCAGCCTATTAAATTCCTTAAAAATGGACCAATATATGCGAACTGAAAACTCTCGGATTTGTAAATAGTAGTCACTCTCCTCCATTTTGATAGTTGGTTCCCATATTAAGCTTCATGGAATTCAGAAAGATACTCGACATCTTTGAACAAAGTTCACGTCTATCTTCTTTTATTATAATTCACGTCTTGCAATTTATGTATCTGACTCATGCATGCATTTGTTATAAAAACTTTGTTACTCTCTATAGATTAATTCCTGACAAAAAAAAATGTGCAACTCGAATTTGTACTTGTAGGTTGTGCCAAACCTATAGATATATTATTCTCTAGTGACCTTTAGAACTAAAATCAGTCTTGTTCAAAGCAAGAAACAAAAAGCAGTATTTTTCACAACAAGAAACAAATAAAAGTATTGAAGAAAATGGACTAATCTTGCAGTTGCACTAAACTTGGAACATAAGAAGATATTATATATATCTTCAAAGTGTAAAACCATTGTAATTCAAAGTGTACGTTTTTATATATATAAACGACATGATATATTTTTAACAAATAATAAATAATTTTTACATGATTCATGTTATTTTTAGAGTTACCTTATCACCACATCCGTAATCATCGACTACCACCATCGTCACCTCCATTAACAATCACATGTTACTCCTATTTCTCTTAGTATGACATGCTATTTTATTAATTAACATTGTTTTTTTCCTCTGATTCTCATTGGATGTCTCTCTTTCGTAGTCAAACTTCCAATATTGATTTTCTTTATTTTCAGATTTCGTGTTATTAGTGTTTATTTCATGTTTTTTTAATCCTAATTACATGTATGTTTTGTCTTTTATTTGAGAGCCATTTCATCGGTGAACAAATATTAGTTTCTAAAGTTTTTTTTGACTCATGACTATTTTCTTAATTATTTTTGAGTCAAAGTTTAGTTATTAATATTATCCTAAAAACAATTTATGACCAAAAAAAAGAGAGGAAATACTTTACCAATATAATGAAGTTAAAGAAAGGGAGACTCACAAAAATGCCCCTTTTTCAATACCCCTTTTCAAAAATGCCCCATTTGGCTGTCCATTTTTAAAAATACCCCTTTTTATGTACAAAGTGACTAAAATACCCTTCTTTTAATAAAAGATATCACAAATATATAAAGAAATATAACAAAATTAGGTCCACAAAATACAAAATATTTTTTGGCGGGAAAAGTGATCCCTCAATTTTTCCCGACAAAACACTTGTAAAACCTTACAAAACACTTGTAAATACTTCGTAAAACCTTTAAAATACCTTGTAAATTTTTCCCGCCAAAAATTTTCCCGCCAAAAAAATTGGGGAATCACTTTTCTTTTTTGGCGGGAAAAATTTGACGGGAAAATTTTACAAGGTATTTTAAAGGTTTTTTACAAGTGTTTTGGCGGGAAAATTGCGGGATCACTTTTCCCGCCAATAAATATTTTGTATTTTGTGGACCTAATTTTGTTTCAAATAAAGGTAAAATGGTCATTAAAAATTAAAAGAGGGCAAACTTAAAAATGGACTCTCAAAGGGGGCATTTTTGAAAAGGGGTATTGAAAAAGGGGCATTTTTAACAATTTCTCTTAAAGAAATGGTGGTATTTCTAAAAAAATTAGTTTGCTTGCTCGATTATTATGGAAAATATACATATAACTTCTTATAATAATTTTTTTATATTTTAAATAGTTTAAATTTTTAAATTTTTTATAATTATCTTTTTACAATTTTTTGTTTCTTAAAACAAAATTTTTGTTTGCCACAGAGAAAAATCTCTTATGAAAATAATTTCTTTATAATTATCTTTTCACATTTAAAACTGTTTAAATTTATAATTATATTTTTCCTTTTTATTTATTAAATAGAAAATATTTATTTGACATATGGCAAAATCTAAGCTCGCTAGATTTGACACATATAACACGATCAACTTTGAAAACCATACTTTATATAACAAGATAATTAAAAAAAAAACAAAATATTATCTATAAAAAACTAAAAGGGTATCTAGCGTTGGAGGTGCTCTAAAGCTTTTGAGCATAACATCCACGAAACTGGCCAAAATTTCGAAATTTACTTTATCAGATTGGTTGTGGTACCATTGCTCTAGTTATGGAATTTCAGATTGGTTATCCTTTTCCTCAATGGTGTTTTTACTTTTTTATCGTTTTCTGTTTTGAACCAAACTCTGGTCTCTTGTTCTGTTATGTGACGATGAATAAAAAAAACATTCGAAAGTTGCCAAAGTCGTCATCCTAACTAAACCAATATAGCATACCGAATACTTTCTTGCTTTTGTTTTTATCGAATTAAATACTCGAAAGATTACTGTAACTGTTGAACAACCTTTAATCCCTTTAATATGTCTCTGATTAATTCAACGTTGTAGGTGAGGAAGGTAAGATGTTGGTAAAAGTCATGCATGGAAACAACTTCACAACACAAAAATTTGAATATAAAATACATGTTGGTGCATTAGTTTTACTAAATACAAAGTTGTAGATCAATGGGAGATCAACAAAAAATTCACCCGGTTCTTCAAATGGAAGCCAACAAGACGAAGACAACAACACCAGCTCCCGGAAAGACAGACTTGCTTCCGGTTCAACGGCCGATTCTGCCTCCTGTTATGCCTAGTAAGAATCGAAATATGTGCTGCAAAATCTTTTGTTGGGTGTTAAGCCTTCTAGTCCTTGCAATGATCGCGTTAGGGATTGCGGTTACGGTTGTATACTTTGTTTTCCACCCTAAACTCCCGCGATACGAAGTAAACAGTTTACGAGTTACCAACCTTGGAATCAATCTAGACCTCTCTCTTTCCGCGGAGTTCAGAGTCGAGATCACAGCTCGTAATCCAAACAAAAAGATTGGGATTTATTACGAGAAAGGAGGCCATATCGGTGTGTGGTACGACAAGACAAAGCTATGCGAGGGCCCGATACCGAGGTTTTATCAAGGGCATCGCAATGTCACTAAACTGAATGTGGGTCTAACGGGAAGAGCACAATACGGGAACACTGTCTTGGCGGCATTGCAGCAGCAACAACAGACAGGACGTGTGCCGTTAGATCTCAAAGTAGATGCACCTGTTGCCGTAAAACTCGGTAAATTGAAGATGAAGAAGATTCGGATATTGGGGAATTGTAAACTTGTTGTTGATAGTTTATCAACAAACAATAATATCAACATCAAAGCTAGTGATTGCAGTTTTAAGGCCAAACTCTGAGATGGTCTTAGTTCTAGGCTTTTACTGTTTATTTGGTGTTACTCAATTCATCATCATTTTCGTATACATTTGATTTATATTTTGAAATTCTGGTTTTTTGCTCTAATTCAAATAAAACGGTTTATATTTTTATACAGTATTACCAATTTTTTCAATAGTAAAACTTTCAATAAATTACTATGAAATCGAAATATTAAAGGGGAAAAAATAGCTAGCTACACGACGTATAACTGAATATATTACCAAAATTAAAAAGATCTCCAGGTTATTTCATCCCAAGTAAAAAAAAAAAAAAAAAAATTAGAAGAAATTACAATGTTATATTTTATCAATCAACAACATTAATTCGAATTTCAAAATCAAACATAACCAAATTATAAATCAAATTTTCCCATAAGGAAAAATAAAATCTCCATCACTTGCCTTTTTCTGATTCATGAAGAACAGCTTTCATAATCAAACCATCATTATGCACAACCATAATCACCGGCGAGTTTCCGATTCCTCTCGCCATCGCCGTCAAAATCTCTGCAATCAAATCCCTAAATTTCTCTGGAACCAAATCTTCACCAAATCTCTCGAAAATCGCATTGTACACGTTATTAGTCTCTTCTCCAGGAGCGACTTCAGATTCCACCGCCACAACATGGTTGAGACCTTGACGAAGCTCTGACGGAGACAACATTCCGTTTTTGTCTAGATCTAGAATCTGGAAATAGTCGTCGGTTATGGATTCGAATGATTTGGTGTCGGAGATGAATCCGATGAGAGTTTTGCTTGTGAATACTGTTTCGATCATTGTAGAATTCATGAAGATTGATCGAATTCGTGTTTTGAGATCTGAATTTGGAAAAAAGTCTCTTTGAAAATTTTGTTTTTCTTTATTGTTTGGTTAAATGGTGATGGTATAAGATTCGATAACGTAGTAATATGTTGCGTGCATGTTTTGCCACAGAGAATATAAGCTACCTTTTTAAAATAAAAATAAAGAAATTTTCACGTTTGGGGTGAAAATGAGTTTCTCAACCATGTTTTGGCAAAGTGACATGGGCTTCTCACCAATTAGCCATTTAGACTTTTTTGGACCAATTTGCCCTCTGAATTGAACTGTTCTCGTTTTTTTTTTTTGTAGGCTGAACTGTTCTCGTTTGATACTAACTTTTTTTTCCTTATGGTTGAAAAAAAAAATTGGAAAAATTTACGGTGCCTTTTAATTTCATCCTCTCTTCACGCTAGAGCACAAGAGAACAGTTCAGACTTCAATTTCTTTCATTTAAATTGATTATCGATCTCGCTTGTTGATCTGAATCGTTTGATTTATCGATTTCTACAGAAACGGAGATGAAGAAATTAGAAGTGCTGGTGGTAATTTCCTTCTAGGTTTCAAAGAAACTCCAAAAAGGAAGTGACATTACCTTCAGATAATTGTGTTTCTTGCAATTTTTCCAAAAAGGTTTTCAAATCCTCTGTAATTGGTGTGTAAATTGAATCCAATTTGCTTAATTGATATGTTTTGATCTGGGATCTGTATTGATTGGATAGTCCTTATGCAATTAGGATGGATTATGGTTCAGAAAAAGCTTAAATTAACGATTTATCTATCTCCTTGACTCTTGATAGAAGATTTTTGTGTTGTTTCATATATAGAGAAGCGAAGCTCAAGAGATAGGAGCAAAGAGGGGTGGGACAGCCAACTAGCTAAGGATGTCAAGGGTTGGCCAAAAAATATTAGCTTGAATTTCAGGTACTAATTTTCTGCATAATCTCAGTAACTAACTTTCTCGAGTATCATCCAATTGGGGTTTTAGATTCTTGAGTTTAAAGTTGGTTTTTGATTTTCAGTTTTCACTCAGCCAAGTCTCGTTAGGAGTTGAGAGTTTACATGGAGCTTACTGCTTCGCAGCGGCAAACAGAAGGAGATGAGGATTTGCAGTCAAACACTATGACACAATCAGAGATTGACGCCATAATGCTTTAAGTAAGTAACATTTACGTAAATGTTCACTCTCATGTTTGTTTCTAAAGTCTATGAGTAAATTTTTACTATGCTTTGTTGTCATCTTTATAATATACTTATAATAATAACTTAATAAGCTTTCGTTGTGATTTTAAGAGTATACTTTTAAACCAACACATACTTTATAGGACTCTCCAAGTTTGAGTATAATATACATGTAAATGCCCAAAACACGTTGGTGAAATTATGTGTATGTGTATCTGTCGTAATTGAACATAGAAATTTGGATTATGATTTTCTCTTAATTTTTCTCTTTATAGTGACATGTTGGTTTTTATTTTTTTTAAGAAAGTCTCCAAAGTTAAAGGCCATCGCTTCGGGTTTGGTAAATTACTAGATGACGGATGCTCGCCCTCTTCTTACACCTCGAGAAGCCCACGCCAAGACTCTTTGTTACGAGAGGAGATTCAAACGTTGAACAAATGTGAAAAGGAAAAAGATGTCCAAATCCAATATCTCACTTGTGACTGAGCTAGACTCCCAAAAATTGGGTTCTGGTCTGTGATGCTCTTAATACCGTTTGTCTGCTTTCCATATTCTACAAGAATATGTTGTCAGCCTTTGGAGAGAGAGAGAGTGATCATGTTTCTCGTGAAGTCATCTAAGAAGACATCTTCAACAAGAATTTATTTGTGTTGTAAGAATTTATGTCAAATAGTAGCAAGAATTTATTTGTCTTGTAAAACAATTTGATTTATATATATTATTCAGATTAATAATTAATAATGATTTTGTAATTTATAATTTAATTTCAGAATTAATATAATTACTGGAAACAAATTGGTAAGATATTTTTGGTAGGAATATGTCCTTATTTGGATTTCTTCTATGTACGTGTATGCAATTTACGGTGTACGCAATATTGATTATATGGACGTGTACGTCTGTTATATTATGTACTATTGTGGAGGCGGTGTACGTAATATTTACAAAGTTTGTATTTTAGCTTTTCAACTTCAAAAAAATATGCTAATATAAACTAGATTTACAAAATTTATGTGTATAAAGCAATAAAGCGTAAAAGAAACAAAAGATTATGAAAAAACTTTGAACAATGACTACAAAATTAGGGTTGCATGAGAAGAAACTCGGGTTGAAGATGAATACAAACTTACAATGATGCCTTTGAATATATGGACGTGTACGTCTTTTAGATTATTTACCATTATTATGGCAGTGTACGTGTAATATTTACAAATTTTTATATTACAAAGCTTGGTTAATTTGACTAGCATTTCATAATATACTTTGAAGGCATTCGAAATATGGAATGTTACACAATTTCCGGTAATTTTAAGAATCATTGTAATGCTTGGTATCTATGATGGTGCACATGGCGAGTTAGCCAAATTCTGTATTTTGTACATATATATGATATTTTTATTTTGATGTTGTTGTTTCTCTGTAATTGTTATTTTAAATTTTTTTAATGAATGTTACATGATATTATTAGTGGAGAATAAAAAAGATTCTAAACTAAATCCGTAAACGTACACGATAATATTAAGATACACGTACACGTACACGATCGCTCCAAATAATTACATCCTAAAAATGCCTAAATCTCATGTCTTTTACTATATATGTACACAAGAATATTTACTAGAACGTAATGGTACAACATTAAAGTGGTTGTAAGAAATATCTAACCACTATCTTCGAATAAATAAACATTTAAATTATTTGACTTCAAAATCAAGTTATTTTGTTAGTTATCTGTATATCTCAATATAGATGGGCGTGTACGTCTGTTATATTATGTACTATTGTGGTGGCGGTGTATGTAATATTTACAAAATTTGTATTTTATCTTTTTGACTTCAAAATATGCTAATATAAACTAGATATACAAAATTTATGTGTATAAAGCAATCAAACGTAAAAGAACCAAAAGATTATTAGAAAAATGTTAACAATTGCCGCAATGTTAGGGTTGCAGAAGAAGAAACTCGGGTTGAAGATGAATATAAAATTACAATAATACCTTTGATTATATGGACGTGTACGTCTTTTAGATTATGTACCATTGTTGAGGCAGTGTACGTGTAATATTTACAAATTTTACATTACAACCCTTTGTTAATTTGATTAACATTTCACAATATACCTTGAAAGAATTCAAAGTATGGAATGTTACGTCTTTTTAAGAATCTTTGCATTTGGACCTATTAGGATGTAACTGTTTGGAGCGGTCATGTACGTGTACGTGTACGTGTATCTCAATATTATTGTGTACGTTTACGGGTTTAGTTTAGAATCTAATCTATTCTTCACCAATAATATCGTGTAACATAACGTTCATTAGAAAATTTCAAAATAACATTTTCATAGAAAGAACAACATCAAAACAAAAATATCATACTTAAAGGATATATCGTACGAATTAAATATATAGCATTTGGCTAACTCGCCGTGTGCACCACCATAGATACCAAACGTTGCAAAGGGTTGCCGGTTGGATTGTTTTCTTGAACTATTGGGAAAACAGTCAAAATCAACTTCAACTATTTTCATGCGGCTTTTTCAACTCAAACTCTAACCCCTTGTATTTATCAACCCAAGCATACACAATTTTCAAATAACAAACCTTGTAACCGTTAGCCAATTTCAACATAATTTTTTTTTTATATTTGTTACTGTCGATTAGAATTTTTATGTCATAATTATTTGTTTTTTTCGTATCTCAATTTTTTGACTTACCTGTTCTCAAGGCCCCATACATGATTGAAATATTGGATATTTTGGTTAGAATTTTTAAGTCATTATTATTTGTTTTTTTGTATCTCAATTTTTTTACTTACTTTCTCTCTAGGCCCCACACACGATTGAAATATTGAATATTTTTGTTATTTTCTTTATTTCGGTATAAAAATAATTCACATTATCGAGTTGATAATTGTAATTTTGGATAACTGGGTTATATAAAATCTAAATATTATTAAAATTTTGGGTATATAACTATATTTTGAGTATCCATTCGGTTCTTGGTTCGGTTTAGGTTATGTTCTAGTTCTTCGGATTAGGTTCTAGTTCTTTGGGTACAGTTTCAATTATTCGGGTAAAGAAATTTAGGATCTTTCTTGTAATTTATCGTTCCGGGTTCGGTTGGGTTCTCATTTTTCGAATATATTTAGTTCATTCCTTTGTTTCAAGTATTTTGTCGAGGCCTATTTTGTATATATTTTAAATGTTTTTTTTGCAAACATTCAAACAGACTAGTTGCAAAATAATATTTTATTAACAAATATGCAAATCGTTTAAACAATTATGTACACATATTGAAACAAATAATTACTGTGTACGTACACATGAATACATGATATTATTAATTTTCAATGACACAGTTTATATAAAGAAATCAATTATAATTTAAAATAAAAATTAAATTTATGAAAATGGATCTTAAAAGATAGAGAAAAATGAATTGTAATTATCAGTACAAAAATAAAAATAATAATTATTAAACAGAAAGAAAGAAAAAATGTGAAAACAAAAAAGGATGAAAAGTAATAATAATGTTATTTTATTCTGTTTTACTGTAGTATACTGTAGTGTACTGTAGATAACAAAATATTCAAACTAACTGGACACGTTAACTGTGTATATTTTTGTTCAGTTACAAGGGCATTTTCGTCCAAAACTGCACCAATTGCTAAAACATGAAAACTCATTTTCACTTTGCCAAAATATGAAATTAAAACTTGGTCAACTACTCTGGCCTGCAATTTACCCTTTAAAATATGAGTTCTTTTTTTTTTCTGCCTTTTCTTTTGGTTTTCTTTTTGTTTTTTTGTTGTTGCTTTTATTTTTAAGCTTGAATATGTCATGATTTGAATGTTAATCTTCCGATAATTATGACATGTCTTCACATTTACAGATTTGTTAACCGGGTGCTTGTCTCCTGGTGGTATAGGAACCTCGGCTGAGGCACCCGCCACCCGGCTTCGAGTCCCGGCCACTGCGCAATTTACCTACGGGGCGCAGCGTCCCAGACCACCAGATCCGAGGGGCCCTTAAGTGGAGGCTTAAAAATCCAAGGAACGCGGGCTTAGGCCCAGTAGGCTAATCGGATCACAGTGTGGTCTGGACACTGGGTTATCAAAAACAAAAAAAAAATTTACAGATTTGTTTGCATATACATCTATTTTCTTAGAAGATTTTGTAATCCCTCCGTTCTTTTATAAGTAATGTTTAAGCTTCTAATTTTATTCTTAAATAGATGATGTTTTCGATTTTTAATACAAAATTAATTACTTTTTATTGGTTTTGACGATTTATATTCTGTAGATTGTTTTTTTATTGGTTGATTAGATAATAAATAATGTTTTAGTTTAGAAATAAACAAAAAATAAATGATTTCTTAATCTATGTGCATTCTCCTAAAATATCACTTATAAAAGAAGGATTGAATATTAATTAGTTAAAATGATTTTGTTATAGGTTGGGTATAATTACGAACTCTTTAACCACTAGCTTATATTTATGTTGGTCAAAGTTTTTGAATACACAAAAGCAGAGATATTAAATGTCATCATTAATGGTGTCAAATTTGAACTCTGTCCCTTAGATTCTTAATTGCCTTCATTTCCGGTTTCTCTGGTTTATGGTATAAGTATAACCTTATAAGGACAGTTATGGTGTGTTTACAGAGTAAGAAACTGTACCGTCTAACAAGGGATTGGTTCTATTTGGTATTATGACAATGATTTACAATGGCCTCAAAAGTGGGTAATCTTCAAGTAGTTCCCTTTCTGACAATGCGTCGGCCTCGTTCTGCGGTGTCCATAGTACTTCTACTGCCTGCAACATTTTTGGTTTTACATCTTTCATTTACTGTAGACTAAACCTTTCCCATGAATATGTAACTTACGGGTACAGAATCTCTCACCATTATTTTGTTTCTTGGTATTGACCCGAGTTTCAGTAAGGCTTCCTTCAGATCTGTAGTTCCGTTTATTGGTGGCAGTTTATGTATACCCTCTGCAGCCACCAAGATGGTTACCTGAACATGTTACAACACTTCCATGTTAAACAATTACCAAAACCAAAGCAAAACAACCTAAAGTTACCCACCCGCACAAATACATATTTCTTTAATTAATTTGACACAGCCCTTAACTTCCGGGCAACCTTTTTGCAAATCCTTCACTGCTTTTAACTTCATTTTTAAAACCTCATGAATTTTCTTTAGGGGGCACAACCTTCTAGACCTAGTTTAACTGTGTTTCCCTAACCCACTAAACGTTCAACTCCGAGTTTTCATAAGTTTACCACAATATATTCATTGCTGAAACCGCTAGCTTTCTTGATCTTTGAGCTTTGTCTCTTTATGCTATTCACGTTAACAAGTGTCTCCTCATCAAATTTTCCCCGTTCTTCAATGGAGAGTTGGTTAAATCGCTTCTCTCCTTTTTCTATACTCGGCTTCACATCCACCTGAAAGAAAATGATACAAAGAGAGTGGTTAGGTTCTGCATCCATGATCGCTCAATGATCCTAGAATTACTAGCCCAGGTAATGAACCAGGCTAAAATGGTGAATATAATACAAAGCATGCAAAAAATTCACTCCAGAACCAGTAGACATACTGATGAATAACAAGAGATGCAATAGTCCGGGTGCCTCAGCAAAGCCAATGTTGCCTCTGTAAGACACAGAAAAATGAGTGGCAGGAAAAACATTAAAACCACGCATATCACAGGAAAAGGAGAAGCATTATTGAAGAAACAGCAAACAGGTTAGAAAGGAAATTTAAATCCCGGAACATTATGAACGGAGTACATAATATCGAAAGCCAAAATAAATGAGTTGGTATGCAAGCAATGATAAGTCTTTTATACAAGTCACCATTTTTCATCAACAGCTGTAACTTTTATTTTAGCATCTATCATGGAACTGGCTACCTGAAACCTTAAGCTTTTACATAGAGTAAGCATGTTGACTCAAGATAAGAAGATAATCAGTAAAGCAATTCAGATTAACATTTTTCAATCAAATCTAGCAACACCAAAATTTAATTAATCCCAAATGTTTACCCAATGCCATTTAAATAGCTTTAAAAATGAGCTACTTCTAATAGATGGCCCTATCTCATAGGTTTTCATATTATTAGAGTTTGAGAACACATTCGGCAGAACCAAACAAAACAAAATAGAGTCACAAGTAATTCACTCAAAAAGCAGCAATAAAAATACACAACATCTTCTTTCTAAAAACAAATGAAAAATACTTGAACATTGTTCATATATAATGAATAAGATCCATCGAAGAATAGGTTACCGGTTAACACATAGCTCAGACCCTCCGGTGTGGATGTATCTGCACTTTCAGCAAGACGATTAAAATCTTGCTGTAGAGTCCTCCCCAAACCCAGCAACCCCACCTAAGACATAAGCAAATTCTCAATCTCATGTTCTTTCCATATGTAAATTATACCAATGAACAAATAGCATTCATAGAACATAACAAAGCTAAGCTATGGAGAAACCGTAGCTTCACCTGTAGCTTAATGACGCTAGTTTTCTGAGTATCGGTTAAAATGCTATCGTCCTGTGACCGATCTGAGAGGAATCCAGAGACCAAAACAAACGCAGCGAAACCAACCAGAATCAAAGAGAAGCTCGAAAACCCACCAAACCCAAAACCAACGGCCGGACCCATCAAACCCCCACCGAACGGTGACGGTCCATAGTACGGAGCGGTCCTAGCAGAGTACGAAAAGCTCGGACTCGATGTTCTCGGCACAGAATACGATTGAGAAGAAGAAGACGAGCTTCGAGACCTCGACGAGAAGGAATTACCACCAATTCTACCACCAGACGCAGCTAAAGCCGAATTAGGATCATAGAACAGAAGCAAACCAAGCAAAACAGCAGCTATAGCAGGTTTCTTCAACGAATCTAACGCTTTCTTGACCTGAATCGCGATTTGTTCAAATGGATTCGAATTGGATCGCAAATCTGAATCTGAATTCGTCGATTGTTTATATTTTACGGAGATTTGGAGACGAATCGAATTTGATCTCTGTTGAGGTTTGGCGTAGAGAAGAACACTACGATGATGGGGTCGTTTCATGTATGGAAGAGGTTGATTCCATTGAAATGGAGTTAATTCCAGAAAGGTAGAAGAAGACGCCATGAACGATTGTTGGTTGATTTCTGGAGAAATTGATCGCTAGGGTTTATGTGGTGAACATTTGGGGAAGAAGACGACAGATAATGTCAGAAATATTTGGAGGGAGATTATTTTCCAGTGGATAATGGTTTTCCAATCGGTTTATGCCTCAAACCGGTTTATTATAAGTACCGACATTTGAAATGAGTCTAATACAATTTTTTTTTTTTCATCTCATTTGATTTATAAAACATCTGAATGATACATCGTGAGATTACATATGTCGAGCCAACGATGACTACCAAGACATCGAGGATGCTAAAGGAAAGGCGATTCCTGAAGCTTCATACCACCAAGCCTAAACCGGGTTCCCAAACGTCGAGCCAACGACGTTAAACAAGCGCGCTTAGTGGGAGGCAACCCACTCGTAAGTTTTTCAATTTCATATTAGTTTTATTTTACTTTACTTTTAGTGTTTTTCGTATTTGCAATTTCAGATCTTTCATAAAAACCATAAAAACAAAATAGAAAAGAAGAAAATCAGAAAATCAGAAAAAGAAGGAGGTCCGTCAACCCAGACCGGTCACGACCCCTCGTGACCGGTGCCACCACCACACGCCGGACCGACCATGACCCCATGTGACCGGTGTGACCATGAGCCCACAGAACGGTCACGTCCCCTTGTCACCGGTGCCGTCCCTGATTCCGAGCCCGACCGTACCGACCGTACAACACCGTCCATCGACCCGCGGTACCGTACCGGATGTCCCGCGGACTGACCCATCAAACCCGTGGACCGTCCCGCGGAATGACCCAACCGTCTCGCACCGTCCCACAACCGTACCGCATTGCACCTCCACGTCCGTTCTTCAATTCTGTCCGACCAAATGATCTAGGATTTAATATTTACCGATAAATTGGATATTTCATGAGTAATGATCGAGACAGAATCTTGAAAGAACAAGCCATTTGCGAGATATCACTATCCAGCCCATACGAGCCGTACCAAACGACGAAAGTCGACATGATCAGAATCTCCCAAGATTCGAAATTTATAGACAATATGCTTATTCCAGAGCATATGGTCGAGAAAAAAGTGCTCGAGATCGGACTAGATTGGAAGATATGACGATTGCAACACCAAAAGAGCCGTCACCGTACCAACGATCCCAACTTTGTATAATTGACTTGAGAAGAGAAATTCATCCGGAAATTAGCTAATCCGAAGAGAATGGTCGAGAAAAACAAGTAATGAATTGGAGTGGATTGGAAGATATGACATAGAGGTATGTCAAATACTTATTACTAACCGATTGAAGTTTAAATGTCAGGAACTACTTTGGATCAAATTTCCATAAGTAAGGTGTCCATTCCGGAGACAATGACCAAGAGAAAAACAACAGTTCCCAGGGTAGATTGGAAGATGTCCGAAGCAACTTTTCACCGTGCCATACCCGGAACACGTGATTTCAAAGTCAAGAAACTTCACCGTACTCAAATCCGCATGTAATATGTATATTTCAAAGTTGTAGTACTATAGGTGTCAATCCAATCTAGTGTGATACAAACAGATGAGATATGATCAGATTTCACTAAGTCAAGCCAAGCAGAGAGTTGTTGTTTTCTAATAATCCTAATGCAAATAGAAAGAAACTAAAATGCGAAATGGCAATAGCAAGCAAGAGAATAACTAAGCAGGCAAGATAACAGGTAATCAAATGGATAAGAGATTCCTAAGGATGGGGTAATCGAGTAGCGTGGTCTCCTTAATCTATTTAGACGGTTGACAAAGCTTCAAAGAAGCTATCCCTAGACAACAAGTTCAAAAGCAAATCAATTCACTACCGTGATAGAAATCCTCAAGTAGAGCTAGACTCAGACCTAATCACCAGTAGCGACATCTAACAAAGCAGGTACTAACGAATCAACTTGTTAAAGCCAATACCCGCTCTAAACGGCCAATACCTTGGGATAAAGACGAGTATCTCTGGAATTAGTGGATCAGACATTCCATCAAACACCTTTTGGGTGCGGGAATGTCTGGATTCATATTCCAGTTGATCAGAAAGGAACAAGCAATAAGCGCAACTAATCCAGAAGGGATTCAAACAATCTAAACTCAACCATCTAAAAAGACTAAGGCAACCACGACTACTTTATCCCATCCTCAGAAACACTAGTCACTACTCAGACAACATCAAAGGCAATAACAGATAAACGAATGAAAACATCATGACAGAAAGATTAAAGGATAAACGAAATCTGAATAACTTCGAAACGAAAATACAAAGTCGCCAGAGCGTACTGCGGCTGCTAAAGTTTAAGGTAAAAACAAGCTTAGAAAAAAAGAGTGATCCTTTAGGGCAAACCCTTAGAGGCTATTTATAAAGACGAAACAAAACAAATAAGGAAACTAGATAGTGGTCTTCACATCAGGACCTTGCGATCGAGTATACTGGCAGATCAAATTGGGCTTCAGGGACTCCGCCTTACGATCGAGTGGTTTGAAGTGAAGACAAGATGGAATGGTCCAGCGACCTTGCGATCGAGTGAATGTTGCCAGGTGGTGATCGAGTGGTTGCTTCTTCTCTTCTCTTTCGTATGCTTAGGTTGTCTGGTTGAGTGCAGGATGAGTAGATAGGTCGCCTTGCGTTCGAGTGATGATATCTACGGCTCTGCGATAGAGTGGTTTGGTGATGATATCTGTGGCTCTGCGATAAAGTGGTTTGGTGATGATATCTCCGGCTGTGCGATAGAGTGGTGATATTTCTGGCTCTGCGATAGAGTGGCGATCGAGTGAAACCGAGCTGCTGGCTTCTCCGGGGTTGTGATCGAGTGGTATGTCCTTCATGACAGTTTCTGCTCGATCTTGCGAGCGAGTGCTTCTTCTGAAATGGCTCTGGGGTTGTGATCGAGTGGTCTGGTGAAGGTGCGATTGAGCTTCCTGACTTTCTGCTCTGTTTCTCCTCTGTTTGAGCACCAAAAGCATCCAAAGCACCTGAAAACAATCCCCATATGCAATGCACATGCATTCTAATGCAAAATCGTTCTAAGTATGCAAAACACACTAAAACGATTACTAATGAGATGAAATGTGGGTGAAACAATGTAAAAGTGATGAAGAACGAATGCCTAGATCATGCAAATTATAGACATATCATGAAGACTGGAAGAAACAAACCGTGTATGGCAGATGGAAAGAAAAGAAGGACACACTCAGCTACAAAAATCGAAGATCCCATCCAAATCTTCACAAATCAGATGCAACAACAAACTAGAACAATGTATGGTTTTTTATTGGCCTTGCAACTTCTTGCATATCAGAACATATCTGGCCTACTGGACAAGATTTCAGGTTCTTCAGACCCCTCGAACCTTCATGGAATGGCATTCAATTCAAGAAAAAACCTTTCGCTAAATGAAGTACATCTCGTTGACCGTGTTCCTGATGTAAGTCATTTCAAACATATATTTAACTTTTTTTTATGTGGATGAGTTCTCATGGTGTTCATTTTTTTTTATAGTTGTCAGTTACTCCGATGCTTTTTGTTGACCCCCATGAAGATGGTTGGGGAGAGTGGGATGATGAAGTGAGAGACAAGAAAGTTGTTTATTTGGTTGATCAGATAAACAAAGGTCATATGTTCAAAAGGTATGGCCTGGTGGCTATGCTGAGCTAGGTCTGATTTTTGTTATAGAAAAGTAGCCTGTTGTTGTTCACAAGAAGCATATAGTTTTTAGGAAAAGGAAACATTCGCCAACCCCTTATGTCAAGGAAACTCCATCTAAATCCAAGGCGAGTACTTCTAGGCAAGGCAAGAAGCGTAAGTTTGAATTGATTGACGATGCTCAGCCTGATGATATAAAAGAGTGGGTGAATTCAGAGTTCGTTGCGGTGAGACATGAATTAGCAGAGACCATTAAGAAGTTAACAGCATAGATGCTGAAACTTAGTAAAAAATACAGGACACACAAATCTCAGATAGGGCAAAAACTTCATTATCGCAAATTGTCTCGCTCGATACATGAAAGTTTTCCTCAATCTAAAAATGTACGTCAAGCATCCAAACAATCAGATATGTCAGTCACTACAAGAAAACATAGCAAATTCCGACAAACCAAATAGTCGGAAATTCGTCGGAAATGGATGTTTCCGACGAATTTCCGACTACACCAAGTTTGTCGGAATTCTCTGGTCGGAAAACAATATTCGTCGGAAATTCGTCAGAAATTTCTGTCGAGATGAGTTGTCGGAAAATGCGTCGGAAATATTTGTTGGAAAATCGTCGGAAATATTCGTCGAAAGCCCGTCGGAAAGGTGTCGGAAATGTCCGTCGGAATAGCGACGGAAAATTGCCGAGGATATCCCGACGGCATATTCCGACGCCATTCCGAGGAGATTCCTACAAACGACGCCGCAAGATCGAGTACGATTCCGACGAATTTCCGACCACAAATCGTCGGAAGTTCGTGGAAACGTTCCGACGAATTTCCGACAAAATATAATATAATAATATATTTAATAGTTTCTGACGAATTTCCGACAAATCGTATTTTTTATTATTTTCCGATGAATTTCCGACGAAATATTATATTTTTTTAAAAAAATATATTTATATTTTATTGTTAATTAATATAATTAATTAAATTAAATAATATTAATTTAATTTAATTGTAATAATTCAATAAAACAAACACAAATATTATATAAAAACATAATTAAAAAAAAATAAAATTCACCACATAATATAAAAAACATAATTAAACATTAATAAGTTCTTAAACAACTAAAAATTATTACAAACGCGAATATTATATATTATCAAATAGATTGTCAACGTTATTTGTTTCATTTTCATTTCCGAGTTGATCTTGGCGAGAAGGCGGAACGAGGTCGGGATGAAGACGGGCCATCATATCCATCCAAAACTTACAATCTTTTAATTGACTCTTCAACTCGATGATTTCGGCTGCGTTTTCTTGACAATTCACGTGTGCATGTGAATATGACGAACTTCCGCCCATGTCTTCGTCAAACGGAATGGAACCAAATCCAAATCTACGTCCTTTTTTAACTTCAACTTGCTATTATAATGAAAATGTTGTTAGGAAATAAAACATATTATCTAAATTATAATATTTTAATTACTATTACTTACCGA